GGGGGGGGAGAGAGAGAAACAATGCAATATTTAGAATGAGACATACAACCGTTGCGGCTTCCAAAAAGCATTGCACTGAACAGATGTTGCTGTGTTACCACCAAGAGCGAGACTCCAGCATAAGCACCTGCTTTTCCGTGGGACTCATTAGTATCTATGGCATCTCGGTGCTTTTCCCAGAGCAGCTTTCAACATTTACATCCACAGACCCCCATCATGTACTTCTAGTGAGGGGGCTAGAACCAGGAACTCCCTTCCCCTTGGGAGTTCCCAGAGGGAAGGGGAAGCCACCAGTTACCCAGGTGGGGAGTGAACACAGCAAGTGGAAGTAGAAAAATGATTCTCATGGGTAAGTTCTTCCTACAGCTTTCTGAGAGTGGAGGGATGGGAAAATTTTCCTGCCTTTCCCCATTCACACATGATCCCGGCTTCCTGATCACCAGTCCCAAGGGCTAGAAAACCTCATCAGCAATGCAGGGGCTCTAAGATGATAGGAGAATGGGCAACAACTCTCTAAAAGGAGTGGTCAGTCAAGTACCCAGACTGTGTCATTCCTCCTGCTGCCACAAGGGCAGACTGGTCCTGCCACACGCTCCGGTCCTGTTGCCAGAGAGTACAGCCCGGACTAGAGTTGCTGAGCTAGCAATGGGCCGGGGATCCCAAGGAGTGCCTGTGCGCTGTTTGGCCTAAGGCCAGCCTGCTGAGCAGGCTGAGGACAAGAAAGAAAAGGGACCCAGAAACCCCTGATTAGCCTACCCCAGGGCACCACCCATTACTCCTCCGCGCCATTCTGCTTCACTGCTAGAAACCTCCTCCTCCCTTTCCCACCATGGCTGCGGGGAGCAAGAGACCTCATCTTCCATTGCCCTGTGACGCCCTCTTCCGCCCCAGTCCCAGCCCTAGCCTCTCTGGCTCAGCACCTTGTCCCCAGGGGAGAGATCCGCAATCTGCCGCACAGTTATGTCGATCATCACCATCATGTCCGTGTGGTAGAAGATGTTTGCGGTATCCTTGCTGGCAAAGATGTCCTGAAGGAACTTCAGCACTGAATGCGGCGGCTGAGGCTGGTGCTTGAAGATGCAAACCGGATCATCTGGGGGCCAAGCCGGGGGAAGGGATGGAAGGCAGGTTAGTAGAGAAAAAATGGTCTGTGTTAAAATCTAGAGTCGGCATTTGTTCAAGTCCTCCAGCCACCTTTTGGGGTAAATCTCCGCACCAGGACAGAGCCAGGATTTTACCTCCATGTGCCTTACTGAGGACATTTCCCGGAGGTAGCACGGCAACTCCAAAGCGCTAGTTCAGACACTGTGCCGTGCCTGGGAGAGCACCGGCAAGCAGTGTGCCTAAGGCAGGGCTGCATAATTGGGATGAGGGCTCTGCAGGGCACTGGGCTAAGATCAAACTCATACGTTAGTCTGAGTATTGATCATTATTTGTGTTTCATTAAAACATCCCAGGGAAAGCTCATTACTTCAGCACCACCCAGCACCCCACAGAACTTGCTGGTCTCCCTGAACAGCCACCCTCATTTCATTCTCCCTGGTTTATTAATTTTGGTACAAACCCCCCATAACATCCTGCTGAGCTTGTATTGGAAATGAGCTTTCACCATGGAGACCAGGCTAATCACCTACCCAGAAGCAAGAAAATAATAAAAGCCTCCACGTTTAAATAGGCCAGCCGCATCTCCGCTCTCTTCAGAGCAAAATCTTCTCACACCCCCACTTCTGAAGTGACTCTGGGCCCTCTCCTCTGCCAAAGGGGAAGAAGGAAGCTAGACTAAGTCTCACCAAAAGGTATAAACTCCTGTTGGTTTTTGCAGCTGCTCAGGGTGAGGTGGTCGCCTTGGGCAATGGGGCAGTGAAAGAGTTAAGCAAAGGCTTTGGAAGAAAGTCAGGTGGACAGCATGGGGGCCGTCCGCAGTCTGACTGATGCTGTCCAAAACCACGATTTACAGCCCGGAAATGAACTGAAGCCAGAATAAAGAACTGCAAGTATCAGACACAGGACGGGTTATTTAACAGTATGTCAGCAAAGCAAAGCAACAGGGCCCCTGTGCCCCAGAAGGTATTAAAAGGCACAGTGCAGTGGCAGATCAAGGGGTAGGAATACTTGACATTGAGCAGACTGGGAGCTGAGCTCTGTGGGTTTCTAATGACTGGCGTTACAAATGCAACAGGTTTAACACTATGCTGGTGTGGGAAAGGCTGTGGTCCTGCAAGGAGGAGTACTTGGCTCCCAGGGCAGCAATCGCACTGCTGAATAGTTCCTGCTGGGGGATGCTCCTGGCTGGTGAGTGGGGGGGACACCCCTGAACCCTGCGCATGCACACTTGTAACCAACTGATCTCGGCTGGAATGGACTTTTGCCTACAGTTGTCAATTAAAACCGAATCCTGCCAAGCCAAGCCAAGCCAAGCCATTCCCAAGAAAAGCTGCACTAATTCCAGCTGCTGTAGTCAGAGGGGACCGGCTTGCAAGAGAACATCAGTCCAGCTGCCATTATTAGCTACTTAGCAGGTGTCATCACCGGGGCTTTATTTCAGACAGTTTCTTCCTCAGGAATGCAGCGCTGCCCACTTCACACTGAGACTTGTACGAGAGCAGCACGCCAGACTGGAGCCAGGAGCTCATCTGCCAGCCGCCCCCTCTCTCTGACCTCTCAATGATATCAGCCTCATCTCGCTAGTTCGGCATTTCCATTAGCCTTTCCCACCCGCTGAGGATGTAATAAAGTTGCAGAGACACTCACCTCCCCTGTTCAGTAGCAGCAGCACCTTTTCCGTGAAGGTCTTGACGTTGGAGTGCTTGCTCACTGTCGTCATGATCACATTGTGCTCTGGAACTGAGAGATGAAACAGGCTCACTAGCCAGGACCCATCTCTTTGCAACAGATTTCAGGTTGGTGTAAGGGAGCGACAAAGGAAGAGAAACAAAGTGCTACACCTGTCTTCATGCCACTGACCTGGGAAACTGGGGTGTGCACAGAACGACTGTGGTGCTCAGAATGAGAATGCCAGGCAATGTCTTCCAAACTGAATGCACAACTGCTTTGGAATTGACACTGTCCATGCCTGGTGAGCTGGCTTGCTGCTGTCTCCCATGCAGGGGAACAGAGAAGCCTTTGCAAGATTCTGCAAGACTTTCTCTTCTGAAACATCATCACTTTCATTCTGCTTTAGATTCAGCACCAAAAGCCAGAGGACTCTCCCCTCCCCCACTACACCTGGTCAGCAATGCCCATGGTAGGCTGTCACCTTTTCAAACCTCATAAGTAAATGAGGGCTGGGCATGTGTTCACGTAACACTCCCCAAAGGAAAAGCCAGATGCTGATGACGTTCACCACATTAATTGCCCTAAAGCCTTGGCTTGGTGCAAGAGCTGTTCTCTGAGGCAGAATGAGCAACTCTTGATAGGAGATAATAGATTAGAGGAATATGTACATTTTTGCAAGAATAGATGGTTAATCCTAGCATCCTGACCAAATTCTCACTTGAGTTATATTGCTTGCATAAGATTTCATTTGAATACAGATGTATTCGTCTCTTACTGCTCTGAACCATTGGGTGGAAACTGCTCAAGTGTTTGTGTGAGGGACAGGGATCCCTGTCTATATTGCTTAGGGTGTAAAGTACTTCAGGATTCTTCAGGTTGAAAGGAGTTAGTCTATTAACAGATCCTAAGAAAGTTTTAACTACCTTTGTGAAGGGCTGATACTCTGGAGGCTTGGGAATAAATATTCAACCTACTAATAAGGAGCCTGAACATCATTTAGCAAGTTCTCAGAATAGGAGTACAAGCCATTCTGTTCTCAGCTTTTCCTGACTCTCCAGGTGGGCAATAATCTCCCAGAAATGCATCACCCATCATGTGTTACTGCCTAATTACAGAAGCCAGCAAATGCACTGGGAAACAGTAAGAAAGGCTAATGAATGCAAACAACAGAGAGCGTACGTAATCAGACTCTGCGCAATAAACTTTCATACAAAATTAGAAACAAATAAGTCCTACTGGAATATTAACAAAACAGAACACAAAATACTGGGTGAGCTGTTGGATATGTCCCAGTTGCTTTAGCCTTCCTGTCCATAAGGTCAAGGAAAGGGGCATTGTACAGAACAGCAGCAAGGAAACAACCAAAGACAATTACAATGTAGCAACAGGGGATCTTGTATATTCAGGATTAACAAGCAGAATCCAAGACTAGGCCCTAATGTTACACTTCCATCTTCTAATGATTACGGACACCAAACCCTTTGCAAATAGCAGCAGCTGGGACAGTTAAGCTTCTTTCCACAAGACTAGATCTTCTGCTTATTCTTAAGGAGTTCAACATGGTAGGCATGATGAGGGATCAAGAAATCCAGGAGAAAGTGATGCCTAGCAAAATATGTTTATGAGCTTGACCCTAATGTATCTATGTTTAATGAGATTCGGGAGGCACAGCCAGGGATAAGTAGCAGCTCTGCCAATAGCCCGAAGAAGAGAGGAGATTAGTAGTTGTGCAATTATATGGATACATACACTGAAGCAGTCTGTCTCCCACCTCATATGTTCCTGTGAAGTTAACCTATGCAAGTGCATGGCATGATATAAAACCCCACCAAAATAACTGACTAAAAGAGTAGAGAAAATTATGTGGGCTTGGCCCGGCCCAAGGGGCTAACTGGTTTGTGACCAGCTCTTGTTCAGTTGGTTGTATTTTCATCTGGAATCACAGGTGGGGTTGCATTCCCTGACTCCACTGTAAGCAGAGGCCAGGTAATGGAGGAGTTGGGGAGCGTGTTTTCTCTCTCACGCGCATGCCTGAAGACATTTCCCTTAGTGGGCAATTCAAATCACCACCTGCCCCCAAAGGCATTCTCTCTCTAGGTCCTGGCTCAATGCTCACAATGGAAGGCTTGGCAGGAAGAGGGAATAAAGGGAAGTTAGCACAGTGCACCCTGAGATCAAGAGACCCCTCCTTCGCCCCACCGGAATCCTGTGAAAGTAGGAAAAGGACTGTACCACCACTGACCTGGAATGTGGAGATTAAAGGCCAGGAGGACATTAACAAATAGGTCAGGCAGCTGCTCTGTGGTGTCTGAGGGCAGCCCATCTTCAATCACATCCAACAGGAACTGGACGAACTGCGAATTGAGCTGCTCTGTATGGGAGGAGAAAGGGGCTTTCAGTCTTTGTGCTGATCAAACGCACGGTCCTCCCCGACGCAAGACATCACCTGCTTCTTTTACACAAACAGGCACAAATCAGCGGCAATTTCAGCCACTCAGGAGGCAACACTCTGGACACTGGATGGCCTGCAGTGGGGGCCTTTGTGGAAGGAGATGAACAACAGTGCTGGGAGCCATTATGCTGAATAAAAGCACTCTCAAATTCTACGCTAGTGACTGTGCCAGCAGCACACCTACCAAGCACTGGGGTAAGAAGGGATTTATATTCTTCCCCAGTTCTTTAAACTATTTAAAATTAATCCAAATCATTAGTAATTACCTAGCTAATAGGCAAGTGCAGCAGCCCATGCAAACAAGACCACCTACAGGAAATAATCACAGGGTTATACTAGGAGAGGAATACGTGTTGCTGAAAGCTTGGAGAGCATCGTTCTGTGCTTCCCATTTCACTGACTCCAGAGATCATGCACCTTTATTATGGAGTCTAGTGAACAGGCTAAGGAGACTCCCACACAAACCTCTCTACCAGAAGCTACATCTCTCAGGGACGTGGTGAATCCCTCCCATTCCAGTAGTGTACGTCCCTCTGAAGCCATGCCACTGTAGCATTTAAAGGGCTGACAACTCCTTAGGCTTCTTGGCAATGGTGGGCCAACAATTCTCCTATGTTGTGCTGGTGCAAAATTGGGAGAGGGAGTAGAGAAATGTAGGAGGTTTCTTTCTCTTTCCTCCCATGTATGCCCGTAGCCCTCTGGAGAGCTCTTGGCCATCAGGAGACCACCTGCAAGAGGCCTAGGTAGTGGCTTTCCCTCTGCAATGCATTCAGTTCTTACCATAATGATGATATGGCAGTGGCTCTCCCATAGAGAATATCATAGCCAGCACCAGTGCAGAATAGCACATCTTTTGATGGTCTGCAAGATAAAATCATAAATCCGGCCATTAATACTCCCAAGCATGCCAAGTATCTGCCCTCTGGTTCAAGGTGAGAAATTATTTAAGACATATTGGCAATTCCTCCCTTCCTCTAGGAGGAATCTCAGGTGTGATGCCTAGAAAAGACATCCAGACAATTCATGATGGTGAAGCTGAGGGGCATGTCAGGACTGGTGACATGCTGCAAGACACACGTGTGTCTAATGTTACATGAATCTGACTGCATCCCTTTTTACACTCTTCATATGCCACTGATCATATTCCAGTGTACTCTGAGGGACCAGAGTCACGTCTTCCTATGTCTTTGAGAGCACCCAGCACAACAAGCTTGGATCCTAAAGGAGGCCAGTGGGTATTGCAATGATAAATACATCTGTTAATGGCTCAGTGAGATTATTCAGGAAATCTAGATTCAGTTCCCACTTCAGTTGCCGTATTTAATTTCCCAACACCCATTATTAAAAAAAACAAACTAACAAGCAGCATGAGGGGTTTTTTTTTTTCTTCCTTGCAACTCTCCTAGTGTACCTCAGATCTGACTTACACCACCTACATTAGTTTAATCCAGTTCTTTCATTCTCACAAGCACATGGCTAGTTCTGCCAGGACTCTTCTGTTCTGACATATACTGCGCCTGCTATTCTAATCTTGGACGCCTTGTGAGCATGAGGTCCAGTACCAATCACGAGTTAACACATATGGCATCTCTACATCAGAACCTGCAAGAAAGAGACTTAAAAGATGAGTGATCCTGTAGCACCTTAGAGACTAACAAAAATATAGATTAGACAAAAAGCTCATAAAAGGTAGTCAGGGTTAAGAGGAGGAAACCCATTTTTATCTATGACTCAAGGTAGGATTTGGACCCACATCTGTAGAGAAGACAGACCATTGAATTTGGAAAATACAGTGTGTGGTGGGTGTGGGTGTTGGAAGGGGAGGGCAAAGGGTGTTTGATGGGCAGAGGTTTCCTTTGATACATTTTATTTCTATAGAAACTATGTAATTTATCCAGCTCTGGAGGACATACTCCTGAACTACACCAACACACCAGCTAAGTGCTCCAATGGAAACAGAAGAGGCAAAAGTAATAGAGTGGGAATGAACATGGCAGACAAGTGTTTTCAGTCCATTTGAGGATCATAACCAACATTCTTGGTTTTTCCTCGGGAGGCTCTTAGCAAACATGACAGATGAATAATTAAAGTCTCCTAAGCCATCCCTGGACACCTCCAACAATTTATATAAACAAACAAGAAAAGCACCCATCCTTCTAGCTATCTTTAAATACTCCCTGCTTCAATTGTTAATGTCACAGCTAGTTTTCTTTGCTATTGTATCTGCATTCTTCTGTTTCCATAGCTCAGCTCTGTCTAAGTTTGTTTAAAGTCACCTGAGACTCCAGCACACAAAGCTCAAGACTCAAGGTGTGCATTCTGCTGGCTTTCCAGGATACGCTTCTCTTATGTATCAATCTGTCCCATAGCCTGCAAATCTAGCACAATTTGCACTGGCAGTAGCTATACATGAATGCTCCACAGAATCCCAACCACTGCCTTTCCTGAATCTTAATTAGCTGGTGTGCTTCAGAAGGGGTTTATAGAAGAACCACATGACAGCACATATGTCAAAATGAAATACAGTATATCTATCCCCTCAATTCCAGATGGAGATTTTAGCAAGTGGAGCGTTAATGTTTGTGCTATGCTTTGGAAGTGCAGAGTACAAGATAAAGGCTAACTATTCTGTTCAGTTACTCTATTCTGTTCACTACCTGATAGTGGTTGGATCATTTATACATCAGATATAAAACGAAACACAGAAGAAAAACAGACCCTAACAGGTTGGGCAGGAAGATCCTTTTTACTCTTTGAAAGTGTAGATTCGTTAAAAAGTTTTTCTATCCAACATGTATTTCCATAACAATATCACGTTTATTACAAGAGGCACGGTCTCTAATTCATTTCTAAAGTACATCACTTAACATGCCCCCACTCCGTCCTTCCAGCTCTAAACTAGGGATGTTTAATATTGGTTAACTATTTTTAGTTCCTGGGGGTGAAGCCAGCAGTCACTGCACTCTGGCTCCACTCCAGAGAAGCCCCCATACCACTAATACAGAGGCAGCAGCGTGGGGTGCCAGGCGGGAGCTGATCTATGAGGGGAGCTAGTTTAAAAACCAGCTCCCCTTGTGGACCAGCTGCCTGCCGCCCTGCACTTCTGCCTCTGATAGAGAGGCAGCAGTGCGAGGTGGCAGCAGCCCCTGTCCGGGGGAAGTGGAGGTTTGAGCTCCCAGACCCAGCATGAGTCAGAAGTGAGCCGGGCTGCTGGCCAGACTGCTAAAAAAAGTTTACCTGGGGGGGGGAGGGGGGGGGAGAAAGGGGGTTGAGAGGAAGAATGCATGTAGTCTATAGCATTAATCTCAAAGCTTTTCCTTATTGACTACACTACTACATCCCTACTCTAAACATGCCAGCAGCAAAGGGTCTTGTGCCAAACAGAGGTTGCTCTTGCATCCAGACTATCAGTGCTGTATCTTACTGCCACTGGAATGGACTGAAACCTGGAGAGCACTTTATTTTAGTGCAGTAACTGTACGATGAGAAGATGATGCCAATGAACCACTGTGACGTAGTGGGGGTACTTGCTGGGCTGTGGTGACCTCTGCTGTCTGGAGCAAGACCCAGCAGGGAAAACCTCACTAGGCAGAGGTAGTGCCAAACTTGTTGAACCAGTGGCCAGACACCCCCTATGGAGAGGAACAAAAGGAAGGTGGAATGCTGCCCTGGCTGGGGGGCAGGGCTTGGAGAGGGTTTGTGAGTTCCGGTCTGGAAGGCAGAGGATAAGGAGCTGGGGAGGGGTCTGGGACTCCCCTATCTCAAGGGGGGGCACTGAGGCCTCTTAGCCCCAGTTCCTGTAACCAGATTGCATCTGTGCTGCGCTGTGCTGGAGGAGCAATAAACCACCCTCAATTCCACTGGCTGGTGCAGTCTGTTTGTGCCATTTCGGGGTGCAGGAGACGGGGAACCCCCAACGCGCCGTCACAACCACGTAGTCTAATACTCCTGAAAAGCATTCCGTATGAACAGTCTCTTACACCCAGACTGAATCTAGTTGCAGTCTGGAGTCAAACAAAGCAACACAATTACACTCAAGCAGCTTGCCCAGAAATTTTCAGATTTTAAACTCCTTGGGTAGAGGCTGTCTAGGTCAAACTATTTAGTCTCTCAACACAAAATTGAGGAATGTTCATTAATATTCTGAAAAACAAAATTCAGAATTAATCTGTGAAACTCTCTGCTACAAGATATAACTGAGGCCAGAGCTTACTTTACATTTTAAAAGAGGTCTGGACATTTGTATGAATAATGGGAACATGTCATGGAGGCGATGCCAGGGGGGTGGGGATTAGGGAGTGTGGTGTGTGCGCGCGCACCAAGTGTCTCCCCAGATTAGCCTGTGGGGAGCAGGGAGAGTCTCACTACCCTCCTCTCCCTGTCCCCTCATCCCCTACATGCAGGCACACTTGGCTGCTCTCCTTGTCCTTGGCAGCTGGGTGTGAAACAAGGCAGAGACGCTTCTGCCTTAAAGAGCCTGGCTGGTGGTTCACTCATGTACTTACACCCTCACCGCCCAGCTAGGCTCTTTCAGGCAGAAGCAGCTCCACCACTCCCTGCCCAGCCTCCAAGAACAAGGGGAGAAGCAGAACTTGCTGGGGGGGAGGGAAGGGAGGAAGTGCAGGAAAAGCCCCCACACCAGGTAATCTGTGGCCCTGGGCTGGGCACAGGGCAGGAGCGGTTGCTGGGCAGGGGAGAAAGGTTGGGCAGCCATGCGTCTTTCCCTTTATAGCTGGTGACAGCTCCTTGCCCCATATAGGGAGGCACCAGTCACCTATTCTCATTAGCCGAAGTTGTGAACAAATTTTGTATCACAACTGTCCAGTTGTAATTGTCTTACCTGCTCTGCTCAACCATCTGGTGGGGGCCTTTGGCATGGGAAATACACTGGACCCTGCCTATGTTTCTTCTTAGGCTCTGGTTTGTGCTTGAGCATTGAAGGCAATGCTGGGACATGAATAAATGCCGACCTTAGAGCAGGGTAATCCCACTACAGATGCAAGTAGATGATTTATCATCAGGCTGGTGTTTTGGGGCATTCCAGCCCCTTCGAGATACTGGATACTCATTGTATCCTCTGCACTGCCAGCACTGTGTTGAACTAAGGCAATAATTAATCATGATTTTTTTTTTTTAGGACCGTACCAATGGACGGAAGGGAAAAAATACCATTAATACAATTCTTGTGGAAGAATACACGACTAATGCAGCTGAGGGGCTCTCCTAACAGGAGATGGCACATAACCCGCTCAAGTGGTTGCTGGGGCAATAAGGCCTGCTAGTGAATTCCTGTCACACATTTCTCAAACTCGCCCAAGTTTCTTGAAGGTCTTAACAGCGCCCACCTCCCCCCACCTCAAAATGCAACGAAGGAAAAGCCGGGCAGGGTAGGTGCTTAATTTGTAATGAAAGAGCTGCTAGGGCAGTTTTTTCATCACTGACAGAGCAAGAGGTGCTGGGGCTATGAAATGCCAAGCCCAGAGATTGGGGCAGGGAGGCAGCGGATTGTCTCCCAAGCGCAATTGAAAAGATCTGACAGTAGAGTTGTGTGTATATTGAACTGCAACAGGGGACGGTAATGATTACAGAGACTGACCATCTGTTTTCCTTAGAATTGTTTGGGTTAATTCTGCCTCGCTGTGTCTTATTATAAGCCCTTCTAACAACACACTGATAGATCTGCAAGCCAGCAGGAAAATGACGGTCCAGGAGCAATAAAACCAAAGCATCTGCCAGAAGACCTGGATAGCAGCCAACATGCCTGTATCAACCCCAGGGTAAAGTGCCTTCTCATCAAAGGCGTCCGGGATCCATGCAGAGAGCTTGAGCCTCAAGTGTTCATCTGTAGCTAGTGAGGCGGG